GTTTGGTGTTGCTTGCACAAAGTGGTTAAAAACATCAATGTTTTGACAAGCAGAGGGTGTGTAAATACAACAATAATTTCTTTCTTATTGCTAAGACTGAAGATGATGTCTCACATGGTACTATCCACAGTGATCCATCCATGTGACTTGCCTCATGCCAAATCCTGTAAATGGTGAAGACTCCTGTCTCCACAATAGTCTTGAGGATAAGGAGATACAATTAGGAAGTTTTATGGCTACCAGGAGATCACTAAATGGCCTGCATGTAAACAACGTAAGGGAAGTGCTGTGGTTCAATTGCACAGCCTCTGTTTCCATGCAGATGATTCCTGATACAAGCACTGCATCTTCAGATGAGCTAGATAGACCAGTGATATGGCATAATATGGGGAATCTTCCCATGTTCCTAATATATGGCCAGTTCTTCAAGCATCTTCAAACCAAGCCTATTGATTCATCTTGGCCAGTTCCTGTGTCCAATCTGCTTTGTTCAACTTTTTTGAAATGTTTGCATTTTATCTTTTTACATTTCTATCTCAAATTAACTTAAACACTTGTTTGTGGAAGGGAAATTCAATGAATGAAGAAATGGACAAACAAATGAACATGCCAGTGCTCATTCAGTGGCCATAGGCCCTATCCAGGAAATCTGTATTCTGAAACAGCAGCAAAAAAAGGAACTTGGGGTTTTGTAGGACAAGAAAAACAACAGTTTGCATTATTCTCATGATCTTCACGATCCAGGAGCATGTATGGTTATGTCACTCTGAAGAAATGTATCTCATCAGCCATTACTCAATCCATCTAGGCACAAAATGTTCATTGCCATACCACTTACATATGGAGGTACAGCTCACGCGCGCGCACACACGCACACACCATAATATTCTGTGAAATATACAGAGAATGCAAATAAATTCTACCATATCACACTATGGAAGTAGGACGTTCAGTTTTTTGTATATTCTAACACACATTACCAGATGTGAGGTTTACCTGGAACAATTTAAGAGGGATTCACATGATGGTATTTTACACAGTGGCAACCTCAAACCAATGGTTTCTGTAAGTAGAGTGTATTCCAGTGTCACCATAGTTTAAATAAGATGCTAAAAGAGAACTCTGCAATCTCACCAGCATCACACCAAGTTACAGCAAAAGCCCCCAGGCAATGACTCTGTTCATTTAAGTCAAACAAGCAACAGCATAGCAAACAATGGCCCAGCTACTGCGTCTTGCAAACCACATCAACAGTTGGCATTTATGCAAAACATTTTGCATACTCAAAGCACTTCTCAGGAATCTTTTCAAAAACCAAGAAAAACAAACAAGGAGACTCGCTGAATCAGACCTTCTGGTCTATCTAATTCATTTCCTGTTCCCAATGGGGACCAGTCAACATCTCTGGGAAGTTCTTGAGCAATGTATGGGGGCTTCCCAATCGCCCCGGATGGTCAGCCCTTTGCATCAGCTACATTGCTTCTGAAAAAGGAGCTTTCATGTGGTTATCTGGTTGAGCAGGTCTTGATAGACCTATCCTCCATGAATGTCTGTATTTTCCTTGTAATGCCATCCCGCCTAGAAGCCATCAGTGCATCCTGTGGCAGTGAATTCCATATGCCAGTGATATGCTATCCAAAGAAGTACTCCCTTTCATCTGTTCTGAGCCTGTTGCTGCCCAGTGTGAGTATTAACACCTATCTCTGAGCATTAGAGCATACAAGACCTTTTCTGGCCTGCCTGAACTTTGTGCCTGAATGTTCAAGCGTCTGGTTTTAACCTATCATACCTTAGTTGGCTCAGGGTCACCATACGAACGGAGCCTCACTCCCAGTATGTGCCCACAGTTTCACTACAATCCATATCTGAGGCCCTCTTTCAAGGAACTCCTGCAATGGAACAAAGGGGGGGGGGGCTTTCTCAGTGATGCCCCCACCCCCAGCTACAGAATGTTCTCCTCTCTGATGTCCACCCAAATTGTTACATTTTCAGCACCTGCTTAAGCCTATTCTCTACTCCCAGGTATATGATGGACTTTTAAATCCAGTTATTAGGTTTTGGCATTTTATTTATTTTTAGCTGTTTAAAATTATATTATTTGAAATCCATTTGCATCATAAAGGCACTACTGTACCAGCAGGTTTCCTTTCAGGACATTTCCAGATAATGTCCAACAGATGCTGCCTTTTTTCCAGTGCCACTGGACCCTGAGTTGACATGTTTAGGAAGCTGTCCACCACAGCCTCCAGGTCTTTGATCCTGATCCTTTGTCACAGGATCTTATCAGAATATGGTTGAAGTGACTGTCCCAACCTACTTGCCCCTTCATTACACTGAATTATATTTGCCATTTTGGATCTCCTGTTCATGCACACTTGATTACCTCACTGCTCACCTTCAGCTCTACATCATTTATGAACACGTTAAATGGCACCCATTCCAGTGCAGATCCTGGAGTGTGCGCGTGCATGAGTGCAATTCTTACTCCGCTCATTTTGGAAAAAGAAATGTCAATTGACTCCCAACTCTGCCTCCTTTTGACCATACAAAAATTGAGGTTTTAATTATTTAATTATTTGTTGGCGCGTGGTTTTTTTTACCCATCCCATTGGCCACACAGCTCCCTGGGTGGGTAACAGACAGTAACACGAATTGTGTGGAGCATGAGATGCATAACTTATTTATCCGTTCTTTTCTCTATGATATTTATATCACACCTTTAAGGATGTAAGAGCAGCCATATGTATCAGGCCAAGGTCCATCTGGTCCAGCATTCGGTTCACACAGCAACTGACTGACTCCATTTTTGTCTCTCCTGAATCTCCCACCCATCAGCTTCACGGAATTACCCTAGCTTCCAGTTCTATGAGGGAAAAAATATCTTGTTGTCCACTTTCTCCACACCATTTTTAATTTTGTATCTCTCTATTCTAAATGAAACAATCACTACTATTGTTGGAGCAGCTCTAACCTCTTGACCATTTTAGTTGCCCTATTTTGCACTTTTTCCAACTGTACAATATCCCTTCTTAGGCGTGGAGACCAGAAATGTACCAGAATATTCAAAGTGTAGTCACAGAACAGATTTGACTAAGGAGAGATTGAGGTTGGCCATTTTATTTTCACTCCTTTCTTGTCTTACACAGATCTTGCCTTTTTCCAAGCAGCTATACCCTGGGCTGATACGTTCACTGACCTGTCTACTACAACATGTAGATCTTTCTGCCAGCTCAGATATTGCCAGCTTATACTTGAAGTTGGGACATTTTGTCTCATTGTGCATCGCTTTATATTTGCTTACACTTGCTTTCTTCCATGAAATCCATTTCTCAGGCAATAATTCACCTGGCTACAGACCAGACCCAGAGGTAGTTTGGGTCAGTTTCCACAGCTTATAGTTCCCACAGCTCAGGTTGCTATGTCTGATTATGTTCTGGTTCTAAACATGAGAGAGAGTATTAATATCTGTAAAGAAACATAATCTGCTTTCAGAAGCACATGGCCACCCAGCATGGTATGCAACAATGCAATGACTAAATGAAAATTTAGACAATGGTTTTAGATGGTTTCTTATACCACAATCTTAATCTTCTTCACACTATTCCTTGTGTGGGCACACGTGTGTCTTGGGGAACTGGGACTAAAATTTTGCTCTTCCAAAGTTTTTGTTTCCGTAAGCTTCAGTGCTCCCACTCCCCCAAAGAACACTTCAGATTTGACCATAATAGCTCCAGGAATACAAGCATCACGCTGCCAAAGTCCCGTTCCTGGGTGCAGTTCAGTGGTGAGAAAGGAGATCTTTAAAAATAGTCAGGGGAAGCCTCTTTCGGTAGCTGGCATGGCCCAGGGTTACCCCTAGCAACCCATGAGGAATTTCAAGCTGAATGGCATTGTGAGAGGCTCAGCTCTGAACCAGAGTGGGGGCAGGGAAAAGACACAAAAACCCTGTGACAGAACACAGGGCGATGGGTCACCACACACACACACAAACACACATGTGCATTCTCAGGGCAGGGAAGATACCCATTATACTGTGTAGATTTCACACAAGCCATCTTCACACACACACACACACACACACACACTCTCAGAATCTGTACACAAAGCACTCAAAGCAAGGAACAGCACATATTTTGCTTCCTAAAGGTTAAAACAGCAAAGAGTCTTGCCCCACATGAAAGACTAACACATATATTATAGGATAATCTTTCAGGGACTTCGGCAAATGTATCGGCTCTTCAGCTGACCTGCTTCTCTTCTGATCACTTCCCCCACGTTTAATCTTTTGCTCTCCATCCCTTGCGCTTTACATGTCACAAAGTGTGGCCAATGTCCTCACAGGTGCACACACGGGCTCTTTTTTCTGTACACACAGGGATTCCCCTTCTTCCCTCTGCAACAGCATCACAGATGTGCTACATTCCACCTTTCTTTTCACACTAAGCTGTTACTAAAGGCGGAACGCGGCGATGACAATTCTTTGCTTTACGATATTTCGGGGCTGCCCTTCCACTCCGCGAGCGCCAGGGATGGTGGCCCCTCACTTCTTCCCCTCTGTACCTAGGCCTGCAAAACAGCATCCTGGCGCTCGGGGCACCCTGTGCATGAGAGCTTATCCTAACTAGGCTAGGCACCTAAGAAGCCTCCTTCCAGAGAGGGCAAGGCTGATATCCATAGCAGCTGTGGGCAGCGTGGCCCTGGTGCCCAGCGCCACGCAGACCCCGCGGAATGTCTCGGCGGGGCTGCCCCTATTGTGTGCGCCGCTCCCCATGCATGCCCGGCCAGCGCCGAGAACGCACCAGGCAGGCCTAGCGGCTCCCGTGCCAAGCTGCCGCTTCGCATTGTCTGCTCCCAGCTCCAGCAAGGGAGGGAAAAAAACCGATCGATCCTGCGAGGAGCCGCCGCCGGCCCCTCCCCGCCCCTCCTCCACCCCCTCGGCCGAGGATGCGGAGCGGCGGCACCTGCCCTCTCCCCTCCCGTGCAGAGCACCTTCCACCTACCACACGGAGCCGTACGCGCCCGAGCCCACCGGGGTCAGGTGCTGGTAGCGCTGCGGAACCTCCCACACCGTCTTGTTCAGTTCCTGCTTATAGAAGCCGCCTCGCTCAGACATTTTCCAGAGCCAGCGCTGGAGAAGGAGGCGGCGGCGGCGGCGGCACCGACAGCAACCGAGAGCCGGGCAGTTCCCGCTGGAAGTGGAAGGGCGAGCGAGCCACCCAGAGCCGGCGCGGAGGAGGGGCTAGGAGGGTGGGGAAGAGGGAGGAGAAGGAGAGAGCAGGGCGGCGAGGAGGAGGAGGGGAGGAGGAGGAGGGAGCTCGAGGGCATGAATGAAGTTGGGGGGAAGGAAGGGCGAGAGACGGCTCACAATGGGGAAGGATTTCCCTTCGGAAGGAACAGAAAGCGAATCTGGAGTGATCTGCCCGGCAGCGCCTCCCGCTGAATTGCATTGGTGTGGTGGAAGACTAACAAGAAAGCGGGCTTCCTAGGCCAGACTCGCCCAGCCTGGCGCTTTCACAAGCTTTGGACTGTATGGGGGGAATTCCAGAAGACGAGATCGGGACCTCCTGAAGGCTGCATGGCCCTCAGGGCCTTACGGTCCCCGCTGTTGCTTAGCATCCCGAGTGTCCTAGTGGAGCACCTTCATCTGTGCTTTCCTAGAAGCAAAAGGCTATGCAAATCCCATGCAAAGTCCTAAGCAAGCTTAGACAGAAGAAAAGCCTTCAATTCGCAAGGTGAATTCAGATGGAGGAAGCAGATGGATGGGAAAGTTACACCTCCTTATCCGTGCACAGTTGTCACAGTGTGAATCAGAGCTGCACACTAAGGTAGAACAAACAAACAAATAGGCTCAGCTACATCTTACACATGTAATATAGTATGCGGCTTAGACCTGAGAGTGGATGTCTGCTTATGGAAACCAAGCTGGCACTACCATGAGACTGAGTGAGACACTAACCTCAGGTGGGGGGTGGGGGCACAGCCTTCCAGGCATTCCTTTTGAACTTGCCAGCTTTGCATCTGTTGGAAGGCGGAGGTGTGCATGGTATACCGTGTATCCTTGTTTCCTTGGGTGGGGTGGAGGACACTGTCCCATCACAAGTCCTGCAGCAAATGTCAACAGTCAGTCCAGGCAATTTCTGCATGTGGGATGGGGAAGGGGCAGCACCTCATCCTTTGGACTGCATATATTTGATCTTAATTCTTTAATAAACCAGATAAAGGTTGGGAAAGGGTTTTTTTTTTTATAATATAAAGGGATTGGCTTATTTAAAAAAATCTGGAAGACTACCTGTTCCATCCGTGGGCAGCAGGCTCCAGAGCCAGCCCTAGCATAGACAGACCTGTATCAGGCAGCTGTCTCTAGCAGCAAGAGATCTCCATCCATCCCTTAAGGTGTGATGAACGGTGAATGTGGGAAAGCATGTAATAAAGCATGACTGAAACAAATGACTGTGTGTGAATCAACACATGTGCAAGATGTTGAGCATGGGCTTAGAATGCTAGTGGCCACTGGGTCAACAGCCTTGGCTTGCAGTTTTCCTAGCCCACACCTTAATCTGGACTTGTTCCTAGAAACCGCCCAGAAGTCACTGCTTTTTAAAATCCAAATTGCAGATTGCAGTGTCTGTTTTACCTGTTTGCATATTTCCCTCTAGAGGGGATTAAAACAGCTTGCAATACTAATGAATAAAGTACTCCGGAGAACCATTTCTAAATTAATTATATCAGAATTTCCTGCTGTCTGGTTTTATAGTGCTTCACCCAAATTTCAAATATGAAAGATGGTGCTGCTATCCATAGACCTCTCCTTACTTTTCCAAATGAGATTGTGTCACCAAAAATATTCTTAATGAAAGTTAACTGTGCTATAAATCAGAGGAGCCAGCTTTTATCTGCTTGAGTCTGAAGTCAAATAAAACTCTCAAGACACCAACTAATTATACATACAGGAGTGTGAAGATCATTGGTATTCACTATTTAATACTGTTTGCATGGAGGAGGGTACATCTTGCCATTGACCATCCCAAAACATCACATTTCTTGAATCATAGAATAGTAGAGTTGGAAGGGGCCATGAAGGCCATCCAGTCCAACCCCCTGCTGTTGCAGGACACCAAGTTACACTAAGCAACACTCTGAATCTCACTAAATGGACGACCCTACCGGTTCTTTTTCATCCTGATACACAGTGCATGAAATAATTTGATTTTTTACATCTGACAGTGCCTGTGCTAACAGCACATACAGTTGAAGAAGATAGGACAGTGGTTTCCAAACTGTCTTACAGAGTCAGGAATGCCTGGCACCTTGTTTGGGTGTTCTGTAATTGTTTAGTTTTAGTTATTAGATTTATACCCTGCTTTTTCCTTACAACAAACTCAAAGTGCTTACATCATTCTCCTCTTCCTGTTCTAAATCTTATCCACACAACAACAACCCTATGAGGTAAGTTGGGGTGACAGCCTGCGACTGGCCTAAGGTCACCCAGTTGGCTCCAGGGCTGAATGGGGACTAGAACCCAGGTTGCCTGGGTCTCTTAACCACACTGACTCTCAATAAACATAATAATAGGTTTCTTGATAAAACAATCAAGTTTGCTGAAGGACAAGCTTTGCAGAGCTGGCCCTGCCCTTAGGCAAAGTGTTCAGGTGATAGTTCTGAGGAACAGCAGTTCTGCAGCTGCTCTTTCTCAGCTCCAGCTATTCCTTTCGACTGGAAGCAGGGCTAATTTGTGCCACAACTGTCCAAGCACCAGTGCCAACACTTGCTAGTAACTTTCCGTATCTTTTGGTATGTAAGTATAATGGATATGTAAGTTTAATAAATAAAACAATACAGCCTTTTAAAAAGCTGGATACTGGTGATTTGAATCAATGAATAAATTTCCTGCCATTGTTATTCATTCATGATCTACCAATAGGAGGCGAGTATCATAATTCCAACAAACATATATATCATCTCATTTGCCTGTATGCTCAGGGCCATCATAAATTTAATAAGAAGTCATGCATAGGAAATCAACATTATGTCTTATAAATTTATTTTAGGCATGCTCTAGAAGACCCTTTAAAAACTATTAAATCTGCAGCGATGCTACTGAAACTACATAATCAGTCCAGAAAGTAGGAGAACAGGGATGTAAAATTTAAAATATATTAAGGACTTAATCCTGTGTGCCACTCAGGTATAAGTCCAACTGAGTTTGTTTATTTATTTATTTTATTAAAACATTTTTATGCCGCCCCATTCGCCGAAGCCTCGGGGCGGCTTACAACAATAAATGTTAAATGATTTTCTCCCACATAATGTATTGTTAAAATCTTAATTTCTATTATTTTAGGAGTTTTAAACTATTAGTTTAGGAGCTTTAAACTGTTACAGGAATAATAATGTAAAGGGGCCTTCTGCAACCTGATGCCTCCCAGATGTTTTGGACTACAGCTCCCAGCATTCTGGGTGAACTTGAAGGACATTCAAGGCCAGAGCATTGGGAGAAATTGAGACTAGGGAGGCTGAATTATATAGGAAAAGCAATGGCTTACAGCCAAAGATAAGCTAAGAAGGAAGTTCACAGAAAGAACATTTCCCTTTTCCTTGTTTTCCCCTTCATCCTTCCTCTCTGGAGGGCTAGGTAGCCCTCTTAACATTGAAGGATAGGATGTTTTAGAAGGGAAAGATCACCCCAAATATATCCCATGTTGTTTAGGGCCTTCAATCCTCTAGAGAGAGCACTGGACAGTAGCAGGAGGAGAGTGTATGTTAAGGTTAATGCAATTGACCTTAAAATGCAAACCAATGGCTTAATCTTGCATTGTTTTAACTAGGTACTCAGACTGTATCTTAAAGCATCATTAAACATGGGGCAACTATTCTGCAAATATAATAAATGTACCCTTGCAAGGAAGGTTCTCTGGAATATGATGCAGGGCAAGATGCCAATGTAATATTTCACCTGAAACGTTCTTAAGCTGTGACCCAATCCAAGCTGGTCATCCATGTGTGGATATATTTTTAATCAGACTTGTTGACAGTTCAAAATCAGCAAATGATTGATGCATAAGCTGGAGGCAGCTGCAATGAGGGTGTATCTAAGGCTCATTCCTCTCCCTTCCTCTCTCTCTCTCTCATTCTCTAGCTAAAGGTTAGTTGCTTCTAATTTGTATCTCATATAGAGAGATGCATATAAACTGGGTGACTAGAGATGCTCTTGTTTCAATTCTTAATAGCATCACTTGATGCTTGATGGAATCAAATACTTTCGGAGGTAAATGAAGCAGCCAAATATTACCTCTAGTTCTTTGATGTTTTTTTCCTGGACCTTTTTTAAAAAACATTTGTTTATGAGCATGTATGAAACAAAGTAGCTGTTGGTGGTTTCCTTTTTAGGGAGGCGACCCATTTACACTTGTGAAGAAAGTCATAGATTGCTGTATACATCATAACTCTTTTCCTGGAAAACAGCTTAGCATTGCTGCAGCTTGTGAGTTTATGGTGTCAGCAATGATTTATTTGTTTGCTTATTTAAGTTATAGTTTGCACCTAGGGCAGCTAACAATAACAAATGGATTAAAAATCATGTGCTAATTGTAATTTAAAACAAATACATAAAAGGGGACACTCCTATTGATTGTGCTCATATGCCCCCAAACTTGGATACTTAATAAACATCTTGGATACTTAATAGTGCTGGTTTTGATCTATCTAGTCCACCTTGGCCTTGTGATCAAGGTATCTTTCATATGAACTTCGCATCAGGTACCCTCTTCCATGTATTTCCAGCTTCTAAGGTGAGATAGTTAGCAAACACAGATGGAGTCTAGGCGATGGCATCCTAGTTGCTCAACTGGTGACTATTCTTTTATCTTTTGAGAAAATTATTCTCGCAAAGTTTTAATTAGATGACTTTGCTGCCCAGCTATTATACCTAAGATCTGTTTTATTCTTTCCTTTATTTTTATTAATGTGCTTGTGTATGATGCTTTAGCGCTTACCATTTTTGGGTTTGATTACTTTTTAATTTTATTTCTATTGTTCCAGATGCTGGGGCTGGTGTTGTTATAATTACAACGCTGAGTTTTGTAGTGACTGGTAAGTTTTAACTCTTGTTTATATTTTCCATCTTTTAAAGTTGGCAGTCAGATACATTTTTATGAATAAGTAAATATTTATAAAGCACAATTAGTGCTTGTGATTTTTCCTAATATTTAGCCAGAATCTGGCTTTTTGTGACTATAACTTTTA